TATATATATATATATATATATATATATATATATATATATATATATATATATATATATATATATATATATATATATATATATATATATATATATATATATATATATATATATATATATATATATATATTTTATATATATTTATATATATATATATATATATATATATATATATATATATATATATATATATATATATATATATATATATATATATATATATATATATATATATATATATATATATATATATATATATATATTAATTCATTGTTATTATTATTGTTGTTGTTAGTATTATCAATATTTATATATATATATATATATGTTATGAATAATTATACTTAGCAATAAACACTAAGTGTGCTGTGTTATGTTTTTGAATTATATATATATATATATATATATATATATATATATATATATATATATATATACACTTTCCTATGCTTTGAACTTAAGCGGTTTTCCATCCATCATTAGCATCGCCATCATCATCTTCGTCATCGTCGTCATCATGATGAATGTTAACTCCTTATCATCCTACGATCCACACTGCCTCGTTACCATATCACTGTTCTCATATCAAGCGTTTAAATGCATATGAAGCATACGCGCACACGTGTTCGCGCGCACACACATACACGCATATAAAACACGTACACAGACAAATACACATACACACGCAAACACACACAAATGCATACCTCTGTTCTCCATATTGAAATCGCTTTTTTATCATCTTCGCTATCATCGGTTTTTAATTGTTATTTATATCTAGAGAGAGAGAGAGAGAGAGAGAGAGAGAGAGAGAGAGAGAGAGAGAGAGAGAGAGAGAGAGAGAGAGAGAGACAAAAACATGCAGACAGATAGACGAAGAGATAAACTTAGAGACAGAGAGATGCATATATATGTATAGTTTTCTAAAACTTGTTATATCAATCGATTATACGGTCAATACTTGTTATAATGTGTGTTTTATAATTTATTTGTTATTATTATTATATAATGATAATAATAAATAAATATATATAATAATAATTATTATTATACTTAGCAATGCAGCTTCTGTCGTTTTTTTGTCGTTCATTCATTCATTCTTTTTTATTTGTTTTTTAGTACGGCTGTTTATTCATTCATTCATTTATTCATTCATTCATTTTTTTATTTATTCATTCATTCATTCATTCACTCGTTCTTTCATTCATTCATTCAATCGATCATTAGTTTGTTAGTTCATTTATTAGTTATTTTAATTCAAGTTGTTTACAGTTATTTAAGTGGAATTAAATTTTGAGTGAGTGAATGAATGGATGAATGAATGAACGAACGAATTAATTACTGAACGAATGTAATAACAGCTGCCGCTGAGCCAATAAAAATTAGTTTTGTTTAGATATTCGTTAAATGCTTCGATGTGATTGATTTGAAAAAAATTATATAATAATAATAACTATTATTATTAATATTATTATTATTTTGTTTATTATAAATACTTAGAAGTCTGTTTATGAAATTATTTATACATATTCGTCATCATCTTTTTTCTGTTTTTGTAAATTCTTTTCAATAAAAGTATTTATACAAATCTTCTGGCTGTATTTTATTTATGCGCTGTGTGTGTTTGTGTACGTGTATGTATGTATGTGCGCGTGTTGTTGATATATCTTAAAAAATAATTAAAAATGAATTAATAAGAATATTAATTTTTTAAATCTACCTACTGAAATATACCCATAGAGAACAAATACATCTTCTTTCTCGTGCCCTATCCTTTCAGGTCATTGGCGACCCTCGACCTCCACAAAAACCCGATCTTTAACACTTTGTAGTTTTTGAAATGTGATGATATTCAACAAGTTACACAAGGACTTCACGAATGTTATTCGTTGCCGACCGCGATCTCTTTTCCCTGCAATCTTTCCAGTAGTTGTTAGATTTTCCATTCTTTCCTTCTGCGTGATGCGACCAAAAAACTTTAACTGCCCCTGTCGGATTATCTGTAGTAATTTCCTCTTTTCATAACCGGACTGTTTTAAAACATCCTCATTCGAAGTGTGAGAGATCCAACTAATTTTTATAAATCTTCTCAAAAATCACATTTCAGCAGCGTTAATCTTTTTCCCATTTCTTTAGAAATTTCCCAGGGCTCAGAGCCGTAAGTTAGCAGAGGAAAAATGTACCATCCAACAGTTTTAATTTTGAGCAAACGCTACTGAAAGATAAATTGACTGATGTAATGAATGATATTTTTCATTGTAAAAAAAAATTAGGCGCTGTTAATGTATTTCAAAAAAGTATGTTGTCATAGGAACGAGGTGTAATCATTAAATTTTTTTCTACATGTTTCTTTTGTTTATTACATTTGCTGATAAGATAAACATGAATTATATTGTGAAATAATATTAAATTAACACTTAAATAAAGAAAACAAATTATCTTAAATATTTAGAATAACTTTTTTTCAGAAGAATGTCGAACGCTTCTGGTTGGCTAGTGACCACGAACCAAGCTGCCTGTGTCCATCCACGATTTATGCCTGGGTCAGTTAGCTATTATTATTACTATTATTATTATTATTATTATTATTATTATTAATAGTAGTGGTAGTAGTAGTAGTAGTAGTAGTAGTAGTATATTTGTAGTAGTAGTAATTTGATAATTAATAATAAAGATAAGAAAGACTGATGATGATCTTATGGTGATGATGATTAATTCCACAAAATGTCAACAACCATTTCAAACATTTTTATTAGCTGACACTGTGATGATGGTGATAGGTAGCCATAATTAACCAAATTGAAATTACTAATTGACGCTAATTATCGTGACAGTATGACGGCAATTATAACAGTTTGACAGTTAAATTATCAATTACATTAAGTAATTAGCCGTTAATGAAATTGGAATATGATATATTTTAACAAGCTATCACATATCAACACGCCAATCACAAATTTATACACCGTTATTAAACCGTCAATCAATCAATCAATCAATCAATCATTTTCTACATTCCAACCCAATCAATCAATCAACCCAACATGAATTAGAACCAACCGACCTCCAAAATTATCTATCATTTCTCATATCAACCAACCAACAAATCAAACAATCAAACAATTAAATCCAAAACCAGCCAACCAATTAATCAATCTAATAAAAAACCAACAAACCAATAAATCAGTCTAACCGAAAACCAACCTACCAACCAACCAGATACAAAGGTTACGTTCCGACGATGAAATACGAACATGGCGAAACATATGGCAACCAGACGAACAAATGCTTTCAAGATTTTCGCTCCAAAACTTTCGAGACATCGAGAACTCTCTCAAACAGAGGCGGCTATTTTGCTACGAGGTTCACCAGTAATCCTGATCTTGCGTGTGAAGCCAGGACACGGAAGCTAGATAGATGGCTTCAGCTGCCTACCTACAAACTCACAAATCAGGATTATACAACGCTACACAATAGAGTTCAATTCATGAAAGTGAGGGTGAAATTGTACTGAGACTATCAATATGAATTAAAATCAAAATGTCATTTAGACCCTTTAGATGATGCTAAAAACTTTAAAAATAATTTTAAAAATGTTATTGCCATCTTGACAGAAAATTAAATTAACGGTTTAATAATTTATTAACTACGTCATCAGCTAGCGATGTGCCACAGAGCGCATTACAACGATTATACCGGCACGATTCCAAGTGTCGGATACTTTCAAGAACCGAAACCGTTCGAAACTCGAGAGATGTTCACGACAAGGAAGAACATTTCCTACTGTTGTAATCATCTTGAATGACAAAACAACAGTGATGACGATGATGAGGACGATGATGATGAAGATGATGACGATGGTGAAAAAATGATGTAAAACTTGCTTGAAAATATTTAATTACTTACATTACTTTAATTCATTGTAATGTTTTTTTTATTGTTTTAAAAAAAAATTTATTTGAGAATTTTAGATTTCTTTCGCATTTCTAATTAACAATTTTTAACAATAATAAAAAAGAATAATGTTGAAGAAAGTACCTACATGGTTTTAATTCTAACAAATTTTGGCAAGAGTTCGTAATTCTAACAAATGACTATAGTTCAATACCAGCTACATAGCCGCTAATACTAATAACAAAATGAAAATAATAAGAATAATAATAACAAAAGAACCCCAAAAAATTCTAACAAATGTTGACACCAGCTGATTGGCTGAAAAAGAGCCGGAATGGGTGGCTGACCAATGAGAAAGAAGGACATGTTGGCATGGTAACAAAGAGTGGCCGACCAATTACGGAAGAAGATTATTGGCAAGTCATTATGTTGACGTCATCGAGCGGGTAATATTCAAATATTGGCGGGTACCAATAATATTATTGGCAGGTTAATTATAACTCTGGAAATATGGAATGTTATAATTTGCAGTTGCGTGACATGACGACTATGCAGGGAGATTGTTGTTGTTGGGAGAGTTTTGATTGGCTTCAAGTTGGTATATAAGTTGGAGCTGGAGGTGTTTTCAGTGAATTTGGCTCGTGAGTTTTCCGTTGTTAGAAACAAATTTAAGTTCAGCTTTTCTCTCAAAAACATCACTTGAATATTTAGAGTGCCTGTTGGTATTCAAGAAAACACTCGCAAACAGCAGTCACAACAAAATTACAACAAACAACAACATCACAAACAACAGTTACAACAACATTACAACAAACAACAACATCACAAAAGCAGTCACAACAACATTACAACAAACAACACCATCTCAAACAGCTGTTACAACAACATTACAGCAACAACAACATCACAAACAACAGTTACAACAACATTACAACAAACAACAACATCACAAAAGCAGTCACAACAACATTACAACAAACAACACCATCTCAAACAGCTGTTACAACAACATTACAACAAACAACACCATCTCAAACAGCTGTTACAACAACTAGGGGTGGCTTCATTTTAGAAAATTTGCCACGCGAGTTTTCAGGCGCTAGAAACAAATTTAAATTCAACTTTTCCGTCCAAAACATCGTACGTCGAATC